TGGACACGAGGAACATCAAAGAGTGATCTGTGTCTTGTGTTATGGTCATGTGTTCTGTTGAGGTTGGCAAGGAGATGTTTGAGGGGAGGGTTAATATCAGAGTTAAGTGTTCTATGTATGTAATAGGTGCAATAATAAGTATGGATGTTCTGTATGGTGAGTAGGTTTAGTATTTTGAATATTGGTGGAGTGTGCTGCCTGTAGTGGGAATTTGCTATCATTCTGACTGCAGCCTTTTGTTGGGTAATTAGTGGTCTGAGATGGTTAATTGTTGTTGAGCCCCATGCACAAATTCCATAGGTGAGATAGGGGTAAATAAGAGAGTGATAAAGGGCCAGGAGGGCTGACTGTGGAACATAGTACCGTATCTTCGATAGTATGCCTACAGTCTTGGAAATTTTCTTTGAAATTTGTTGTATATGTGTATGAAATTTAAGTCTATTATCAAGGTGGATTCCTAAGAATTTTCCCTCTGTTAGCTTTGTGATAGGTGATCCGTTTATCATTATGTTAAGAGGGACATCTGTAGCTCTGTTACCAAACTGAATGAAGTAGGTTTTGTCAATGTTTAGTGTAAGTTTGTTAGTCCTCATCCAGGTAGATATTTTCTGTAATTCGGTATTTACAGTATTGGCTAGCATGACTGGGCTCGGGTGAGAGAAAACGTACATAGTGTCATCTGCAAATAGTGTGGGTTTGAGTAATTGCGAAGCATTTGGTAGGTCATTTATGTATAGGAGAAAGAGAAGAGGGCCAAGGACACTTCCCTGTGGGACACCAACTGTAATTGGTTGTGCGGAAGAGTTTGCCCCATTTGTGTACACATATTGGCTTCTGTTGCTGAGGTATGACTTGAGGTAGTTGAGGGAGTGCCCTCTTATACCATAGTGTGACAATTTTATGTGGAGCAAGTCATGGTCAACTGTATCAAAAGCTTTACATAAGTCAATGAAGATCCCCAGTGAGATTTCTTTTTTCTCTATTGCAGTGTATATATGTTCTAGCATGTGTATAATAGCATCATCAGTATTTTTATTAGGCCTGAATCCAAATTGGCAGGGGTTGAGTATGTTTTGGGAGTTGAGGTAGGAGTAGATTCATTTATGAATTAGTTTTTCGAAGATTTTTGAGAGAGGGTGTAAGTTGGATATTGGCCTATAGTTATTTAACTATAGAGAATCCGTAGTTTGGAAATTAGGTGTGGATTTATTAAAAGTATTATCCAGAGGGCTGAAGAGGGGTTGTTGAGATGGTTTGGACATTTAGGGAAGATGGAACAAAATGGAATAACTTGGAGAGCGTATAAATCTGTAGTGGAAGGAAGGCAGGGTAGGGATTGGCCTAGGAAAGATTGGAGGGAGTGGGTATAGGTGGTTTTTGTGTGCAAGGGGCTTGGACTTCCAGCAAGTATACGTGAGCGTGTTAAATAGGTGTGAGTGGAGAAAAATGGTTTTTAAGACTTGACATGCTGTTGGAGTATGAACAAGGTACATGTATGTAATATTTATGAAGGGATTCAGGGAAACCAGCAGGCTGGACTTGAGTCCTGGAGATGGGAAGTACAGTGCCTGCACTCTGAAGAAGGGGTGTTAATTTTGCAGTTTTATAACTGTAGTGTGGGCGGGCCTCTGGCAGGACAGTGTTGGAGTGAATGGTAATGAAAGTTTTTCTTTTTTGGGCCACCCTGCCTTGGTGGAATATGGCTATGTTAATTAAAATAAAATAAGTAATGTGTGTACCATATGCATTTTTTTAGGCCTAGCTCTATTGCTCTCTTAATATATGAAAGTGTAAATCTATAGTGTAAATGTCTTATCAGGCTTTTGTATGCATTTGAAAGTAAAAAATGACTTATATGCATGTGAAAGTGAAAACAGGTGATTTTCACTTGACAGCAGTAGCCCAGAACCTAACCTGCTGTGTAAGTGGAGCCCTCCTGTACTTCAGTAGTGAGCTTTGTGGATGTTTCACAAATTGCCATTGTTTCAAAACAATATTTCTAAGATTATAAAGTTAATGAAATAAATTTAAACAAATTTGTATAATTTTGCTATTTGGGCCAATATTTTTGAGAGATGTAAAATCCCATTGAGATAAGAAATGTCAACCCCTTCACTATAAAGTTCTCATTAACATGATGGTATTATAGGTGCCATGGCATACTTCAGTTAATTTATTGTACAAAAGTCATTTAGATATAAATGTAAGTGTGTTACAGTTTATAATTTTTTTTATAACACACTGGCCCTCTCCCACCAAGGCAGGGTGACTCAAAAAAGAAAAAAAACACTTTCACTATTACTCACACTATCAATGTCTTAAATTTTTTTTCAACATGCTGGGCATCTCTCACCGAGGCAGAGTGACCCAAAAAAGAAAGAAACACTTTCACCATCATCATTCACACTATCACTGTCATTGCAGAGGTGCACAGATATGACAGTTCAGATGTCACTCCAAACAACAAATATCCCAAACCCCTCCTTTAACCCTTTGTGGGTCCTGACCCCAGATCTGAGACTTGTCCACAAGGTCCAAAAACTTTCATAAAAGAAAAAAAAAATTTATTTTGAAATGGTAGAGAATTTTTTTCTGAAGGAAAATTGATGGAAAACTGATGGAAAATTGACGAAATTACACTATCATGAGTTTTGCTGTATCAGCGATATTTATGCATCGTCAATTTTGCCCACTTTGAGTCCCATTTTAGGCAAATTACATTGTTCTAGTTGACCAAATTCTTAATTGTTTCGCTAGGATGCACAAAAAACCGCCCGTAAAACATTTCAACCACCCAGTAAAGCGATCAGAAATTGGTAATTTGTCCTGTTTCACACAAATTTCAAAATATTCCAATTTCAAAATAGGGTTTAGAATAAACAATGCAGATAACATTTCCTCTGTTCATTAGTTACGTTTCCAGGCTTTACACATGAATTTCATTTTTATTTTTTATTCACATAAAAAAATAGAATATTTACTGTTATGCAATATTGTAATAAATGAATAAATAATATCAGTGCCTTTGTGAATGCACATTACCCACCAGTTAGACATGTATTGGAGGATTGATGTGATTTGTTTACTCTTGAACATCGGCAAAAATCGAACACGTCCCCTGCTTTAAGCTCAATTTCAAGCTATTTTCAGTCTTAAAACCAATCAAAATAATCTCTATTTCTGGAATATATCATCCATTCTATCAAAAGAAACCAAGAAACTGTGAATACAACCACAAAAACATATGAAAATACACTACTAAGCCGCTGTTTTAAACCAAAAACACGGCCACAGTTTTTTTTTCTCATTCACTGCGTGCTGCAGGATTTTTTTTATGTGGTGCCCACTTACCACATGGGCCCATTCTCTCATATCTAGGCCCAAATTTTCAGCTGACAGCTTATCTGAATGAACTGAGCTCACATCGTAGAACAACAGCATGGATCCAGGCTTCAGACCCATAGAACAACGGCACAGACCCTCAAGTGGTTAAAGTGTAGGCATTGTATACTTCCCACCTCCAGGACTCAAATCCAGCTAACTGGTTTCCCTGAATCCCTTCACAAAATATTACCCTGCTCCCACTCCAACAGCTTGTCAGGTCCCAAAAACCATTCATCTCCACTCTCTCCTGTCTAACACACTCACACAAGCCTGCTGTATGTCCAGGCCCCTTGCACACAAAATTTCTTTTACCCCTTTTCTCCCTCCATCTCCACTAAGAATTCTCATCATAATATTTACACCACACATTGCTCTTTAGACACGGCATCTCCACTGTCTCCAGCCTCCTCCTTGTTGCAACATTCACAACCCATGTTTCACACCCATGTAAGTGTTGGTACCACTATACTCTCATACATTCTCTTCTTTGCATCCATGAATAATGTTCTTTGTCTCCACAGATACCTCAATGCACCGCCCACCTTTTTTCCTTCATGACTTCTATGGTTAACTTCATCCTTCATAAACCCATCTGCCAACAAGTCTACTCCCAAATATCTGAACACATTCATTTCTACCATACTCTCTTCCTCCAATCTGATGTCCAATTTTTTCTTATCTAAATTGTTTGATACCCTCATCACCTGACTCTTATCTATGTTCACTTTCAACTTTCTTTACACACCCTCCCAAACTCATCCAATAACCTTTGCAACTTCTCTTTAGAATCTCCCAATAGCACAGTATCATCAAGAAAATGTAACTGTGTCAACTCCCATTTTGTATATTTGGTTCCCCATAATTTAATTTCACCCCTCTCCTCAACACCCTAGTATTTACTTCTTTCACAATGCCATTTATAAATATGTTAAACAGTCATGCTGATATTACACATCCCTGTCTAAGATCTACTTTTACTGTAATCTCTCTCTCTCCTACTCACCCTAACCTGAGCCTCACTATCCTCATAAAAGCTCAACAGCATTTAGTAACTTACCACCTATTCCATACACTTGCAACATCTGCCACATTGCTCCCTCCTATCCACTCTATCATAAGCCTTTTCTAAATCCATAAAAGCAGCAAAAACTTCCCTACCTTATCTAAACATTGTTCACCTATATGCTTCAGTGTAAACACTTGGTCTACACATCCCCTACCTATTCTAAAGCCGCCTTGTTCATCTGCGATCCTGTTCCTCCATCTTACCTCTAATTCTTTCAATAATAACCTTACCATACACTTTACCAGGTATACTCAGTAGGCTTATTCCCCTATAATTTTTACACTCTCTTTTGTCCTCCCTTCCTTTTATGTCAAGGAATTGTGCATGCTCTCTGCCAGTCCCTAGGTACCTTTCCCTCTTTCATACATTTATTGAAGAAAAGTACCAACCACTCCAAAACTGTATCCCCACCTGCTTTTAACATTTTTATCATGATCCCATTTGTTCCAGCTCCTTTACCCGCTTTCTTTCTACCCATTGCCTCACTGATTATGTATAAATATCAGATAATAAGTACTTAGCCATTGTTACTGTTAAAAAATGTTTTTAGGGAGAAGCAATCCAGGCACTGTTTGAGAAGTTCCAATCAAGGGTACAAGAATTCCAAGATATTCAGAATCAACCAGCACCTATGAACGAAATGGACTCCCCACTCATGGCTGTGCCCACACCAGCCCCTATCCAGTAGCAGTCTGTGTACTCTCTACATCATTGATGCCATGTTTCCTATGGGAACTCCTACTGCTAGTGATGATAGCTTATGGTGAATATTTTCTTAAGACAATTCAAATTTTGTTAAGTGGAAGTTGGGGAAATAATCATTCTCCATGAAATGAGTAGCACCTTTATGGTAAGCTGAAGCCATATTGTTTACTACCATTGACCCTACCTGTTTATAAAAGCTGTCATGTTTGTGTATTATCAGCATAATTTTCTATACAGTAAGTCTTTATAATAATATTACTACATAAAATCTGTTGTATAGACTGTCAAACAAGAATGTCTTTATAGCTAAATACAAGGAACTGATTGTAATAAAAACTTTCAGCTTTCTGTCCAGATAAATATAGGTTAATAGCATTTATCATTTACAGTTTATTTTTTCTTTGGCTAGTTTTTCTCCATTATCCCTCCAGGGTTATCAAGATTCTAGTGAAATGCTCTTGATTGAAGGAATTGGAGCTTCCTCTTCCTTGAATTGAACCTGATTACCTCTCATTCCCCAGTTATTTGACCTTCATTATATGATTATTTCTTGTACGTTTTCACAACTAGCTGCAGTTTTGAGAGTAAATGAGAGAGATTTGAGTTCATCCTAGAATGTTCTCAAATCGCTTGATAATGAATGGTCCAGGACAGACCGAAATATCACCTAATGATTCCTCTCAAAATTTTAGGTTAGTTGTGAAATGTTTTAGCCACACTTGTGACTGTTATGTTTACAGGTTAAATACAGTGGACCCCCGGTTAACGATTTTAATCCGTGCAAGAGGGCTCATCGTTATGCGAAATAATCGTTATGCGAATTAATTTTCCCCATAAGAAATAATGGAAATAAAATTAATCCGTGCAAGACGCCCAAAAGTATGAAAAAAAATTTTTTTTACCACATGAAATGTTAATTTTAATACACACAAACTGAAAAAGGCATGCACAATTACATGACACTTACTTTTATTGAAGATCTGGTGATGATTGATGGGATGGGAGGAGGGGAGAGCATTATCTTCTTACTGTTTAGAAGGGGAATCCCCTTCCATTAGGACTTGAGGTAGCAAGTCCTTTTCTGGGGTTACTTCCCTTCTTCTTTTAATGCCACTAGGACCAGCTTCAGAGTCACTGGACCTCTGTCGCACAACAAATCTGTCCATAGAGCTCTGTACCTCCCGTTTCTTCAAGACTTTCCTAAAATGGGCCATAACATTGTCATTGAAATAGTCACAAGCACGGCTTGCAACAGCTGTGTCAGGGTGATTTTCATCTATAAAGGTTTGCAGTTCAAACCACTCTGCACACATTTCCTTAATCTTTGAAGTAGGCACAATGGATTCCACAACTGGCATAGGCTTCTCAGGGTTAGCCCCAAACCCTTCAAAATCTTTCTTAATTTCCATACTAATTCTCACCCTTTTTACCACAGGGTTGGCACTAGAAGCTTTCTTGGGGCCCATGGTCACTTATTTTCCAGAAACACCACCGAAAACACTGTAATAATACGAAATATTCCGAGTGTATGCTTGGATGTTACCGCGGAGGCTGGCTGGTAAACAATGGGACGGCCGGCACATGTGAGGGCACATTGGACGCGTCTCGGACGAAAATCGGTATGCGGGTTTTTAATCGGTATGCGGGGCAAAAATTTTGCGATAAAAGTAATCGTTATGCGGAAAAATCGCTATGCGATGCCATCGTTATGCGGGGGTCCACTGTATATATGTACTGTGTACCAATAAAAGCAACTACTACCATAATGGAAAACAGTGCCCAAAACATCTATGCATCCATTTCTGTATATTAGATCCTGAGTATCAAGGAACTTACCCCCAGGGGAGACTCCTTCATGCCAGTGTGGGGCTGTTGATCTAGGGAATTGGACCCAGTTCTTCCCATTCTTGGATCAAAGCCATTTACCTCTCACTTTCCAGGCACTATGTTACCCCTGGGTTTAGCAGTTTTCCCTAACTATTGCCAAACCTATAGAGGTTATACAGAACCTAGAAAATAGGAGGCAATTGGGCTCAATCCAAGGAAGGGGAGGACAAGTCCATTTCCTTGGACTAAGGGCTCACTAGCCTCATGGAACCTTCCTCAGTATGTTAAATATGAAGGAAATAACCAATAAATGTTATTTGTTCTTTCTCTTTATTTCCAGTTCCCTACAAATATTCCTCATTCATTTTCTTGTTCTCTTTTTATATAGTAATAATATGCATCATATTAAAAAATTCCCCATTTTTTCCAGCAAGGGCATTTCCAGTGCCTTTAAACTTAATTAGTATTTCTTAACTTTAGACTTAACCCTTTCAGGGTCCATCCCGTAGATCTACGGCTTTACGTTCAGGGTCCAAACTGTAGATCTATGCCAAAATTCTAGCGCCGTCAAATTTAGCGCGAGAAGGCTGGTAGGCCTACATCTGAGAGAGTGGGTCTGGGTGGTCAGTGTGCATACTATAGAAAAAATCTGGACGCCTGCATGGCATTGTGGGAACACCGCCAAAGTAGCTTTGTTCATCATGCCTGGCGGCAAGGAAGCTCTCACTCTCCGGGCGAATTCTGACTCTCCTCTTCACAACTTACAGTTCTAAGATTGATGGAAGTGGAGCTGAATAGGAATTCTATGGTTTTGAACCAAGATACGATACTACGTGCCGCAAACTGCCCTTCTCACACTATACCATTCATTTATATATCCATATGCTCACCTATGCTATCTGTGCTTGGGGTTCAACTACAGCAACACACCTAAAGCCAATAATAACCCAACAAAAAGCTGCAGTAAGAATAATCACTAAATCCCATCCCTGGCAACACCCCCCCCCCCACTCTTCATAGATCTAAACTTATTCTTTGTTCAGAACATCCATACTTACTACTGTGCAATCTATATCTACAGGACCTTAAATTCCAATATTAACCTTGACCTAAAATGCTTTCTTGATAGTTGTGACAGGATCCACAGGCATAACACCAGACACAAACCTCTATGACAAAAATTCAATGTATTTCAAAGGACCTAAAATCTGGAACACCCTACCTGAAAACTCTAGAACTGCAGACACATTCATCACTTTCAAAACTACAGTTAGAAAATATCTTATCTCCCTGATACACCCCGACAACTAACTACATGATAACCACCTGGTGGTTCACAATTACACTCGCTCACCCACTGACTATAAACCCAGAAATACTAATCTTAATCTTAAAATAATAAATTCTAACTAGTCATAAGTTTGCCTATGAAACTCACAAATTATGATGTAGTCACTTAGCCTTAATACCATAATCTGTAAGGATTTAATGTTAAGAATTAATCTAAGTCTGCCCGAAATGCCTAGCCATGCTAGGTGTCCTAGTGGCCCCCTCTGTAATTAGTATTTTATAACATATAAACCACACAATACCCAAAACCTGTAAACCCCACATTGTAACCCTTATAGAGAATAAACTTGAATGGAATTGAATATGGTACCATTGTACCATATGGTACAATGGTGCCATGTCATACAATGGTATCATATGGTACAATGTGCCATATGGTACCATATGGTACATTATACCATATGGTACATTGTACCATATGGTACAGGGTACAGGGACCCTAATGGAAATAAGTCTCTCTGACTTTTTTGGGTTATCCTAGGTTCTCCAAACATATGCTGCTAAGTATGATATTCTATGCAACTTTATTTGTGTATACCTAAATAAACTTACTTACGATGCCACATGTGCTTGAGTAAGTTTATTCAGGTGTACACAAATACAGTTACATAGATTATCATACATAGCAGCATATGTATAAAATCCTAGGATAACCCAAAAAAGTCAGGGTGACTTATTTCCATAGGGATCCCTGTATCTGTACCATATGGTGTCCTGTACCATATGGTACCCTGTACCATATTGTACCCTGTACTATATTGTACCCTGCACCATATGGTACCCTGCACCATATGGTACCCTGCACCATATGGTACCCTGCACAATATGGTACCCTGCACCATATGTTATCCTGTACCATATGTTATCCTGTACTGTATGGTACCCTATACCATATAGTACAATGTACCATATGGTGCCCTGTAACATATGATACCATGTACCATATGGTCAATAGGACGTGTTGGTGGCAGCAGGCAGCAGCCAAGACTGAGTGGCGATGCAAGCTAGCTACTGACTCAGCAGTTTCCAAGACAAAGCTCTCTGTCATCCACCTCAAGTAACATGTCGAGTTGCTGTACATTTGTAAATATATAATAGAACATTACTAATATACAACATTTTTGCATATTTTTGTTGTAAACTACTATTGTAAACAAAATAAAGATGAAAATATTAGTGTGTTTATTGTGTTGAATACAACAGTACCATATGGTACAATGAACCATATGGTATCATTGTACTGTATGGTATAATGTACCATATGGTACCATAAGGTACCATTGCACCATATGGTACCATTGTATCATATTCTACCATATGGTACTATTGTATCATATGGTACCATTGTATCATATGCCATTGTACCATATGGTACCATTGTACCATAGGGTGCAATGGTACCATATGGTACAGTTGTACCATATGGTACAATGGTACCATATGGTACAATGGCATCATATGATACAATGGTACCATATGATACAATAGTACTGTGGAAAATATTTTAATTTTCCGAAACTATAGTGCCTAATAGGTGTTTAATGTGTCTATATGGGTCAAAAATGTATTTGAAATTAGAGTAGAACCAAGAGTTCCCTTTGCGCATGCGCGGATGTGCGGGGGGAGAGAGGCGGATTGTTTTGAATGTGGTGAGGAGGCTGAGGAAACCGGGAAGGAGGAAACTGGCGTTCACGGGGGCCTAAGGATCGATATAGGCCTCAATTCATAATAGGAAGTGTCGTGACTGTCCCTAATGAAGAGTGAGGGAACGTGATTTACGGGACCACTGTAAAGGGGTGGTAAAATTAGTGAATAATGTTCGACCGGGTGGCAGGTGCACGGCCAGGGTGTGTGTCCAGGGGACATACCCGTGTGTTAATCCTCGCTCATCGGCCTCAGATCTTAATGGAGTGACCTCTAATTTGTATAATAGTTATGAGACGTTAAATCGTCTTGTGAATGGTAATGTAATCAGTGATAATAACATTGAGTTAAGAGAATGCGGGATGTGAAATAAGTCGCCTTGCTCCGAGTGAACACGTTAGACCTTGTTGTTCCCGAGACGAGGAAAGTGAAGCTCATTGATTCACGACTTCTAAACCGGGACAAACCGACGGATACCTCGTCCTGCCGGAATGAGAACCGTGTCGGTGTAGCAGGACATCGAGATGAGATGGTGAATGGAGGAAATAAGGAGTATCAATCACCCACAGTTAAGTAACCCTTCTAGTTATAACAGACTCATGCTGGCCAGTTATGTTATTGTTGTAATTGGATAGGTTATGAGTGATCCAGCTACATCAAGTGACCACCAGAGAACAGCTGGTAAGTGGTGGAGGTACATACAGATAAGCACCCTAGAAAATTTTCCATATCTGCCCGTTGGTCCTTCGTGAACCGGATGCAATCAGTGAAAAAATTAATTGAATTAATTACTTAATAATTAAGTGACTGATTGAAGCAACGGGCAGATATGGAAAATTTTCTAGGGTGCTTATCTGTATGTACCTCAACATTATATACATACAAGTAATCTCATTGGGAGACAACCATATTGTTTACCGTAGTCACCCCGTGTAGACATGTGAGAAAACTTAACCACCTCTGGTCACTACAGGCGGCCCCTTCGACCTCACCATCTTATCCATATCTATCCGAGACCAGTATGGATTGGATAGCACCCACAAGTACGGTGCTACTAATTAATTGTGGACTGTATATATTATATTAATTTAGCTGAATGAAGGGGGGGGGGGGGTAGGATACACATGGATACATCCATCAAGGAAAAACATTTGTACATAATCCCACCACTTACCAGCTGTTCTCTGGTGGTCACTTGATGTAGCTGGATCACTCATAACCTATCCAATTACAACAATAACATAACTGGCCAGCATGAGTCTGTTATAACTAGAAGGGTTACTTAACTGTGGGTGATTGATACTCCTTATTTCCTCCATTCACCATCTCATCTCGATGTCCTGCTACACCGACACGGTTCTCATTCCGGCAGGACGAGGTATCCGTCGGTTTGTCCCGGTTTAGAAGTCGTGAATCAATGAGCTTCACTTTCCTCGTCTTGGGAACAACAAGGTCTAACGTGTTCACTCGGAGCAAGGCGACTTATTTCACATCCCGCATTCTCTTAACTCAATGTTATTATCACTGATTACATTACCATTCACAAGACGATTTAACGTCTCATAACTATTATACAAATTAGAGGTCACTCCATTAAGATCTGAGGCCGATGAGCGAGGATTAACACACGGGTATGTCCCCTGGACACACACCCTGGCCGTGCACCTGCCACCCGGTCGAACATTATTCACTAATTTTACCACCCCTTTACAGTGGTCCCGTAAATCACGTTCCCTCACTCTTCATTAGGGACAGTCACGACACTTCCTATTATGAATTGAGGCCTATATCGATCCTTAGGCCCCCGTGAACGCCAGTTTCCTCCTTCCCGGTTTCCTCAGCCTCCTCACCACATTCAAAACAATCTGCCTCTCTCCCCCCGCACATCCGCGCATGCGCAAAGGGAACTCTTGGTTCTACTCTAATTTCAAATACATTTTTGACCCATATAGACACATTAAACACCTATTAGGCACTATAGTTTCGGAAAATTAAAATATTTTCCACAAGTACCATATGGTAGAATATGATACAATGGCACCATTGTACCATATGGTACTGCTGTATTCAACACAATAACTGCACTAATATTTTCATCATTTTGTTTACAATAAACTTGTAAACAAGTTTTGTAAGCAATATAATGATAAACAAATTAGTGCAGTTATTGTGTTGAATACAATGAGTGTACACTTATACAATATACATTATAATGGTCCCGCAGGCCACAAATGTTACTAGAAAAAGGAAAAAAATAGAAAAGAAAAGAAAAAAGTATAAAAAACATAAAATAAAAAAATGGGATTTTGCGGAAGTCACTGATGTTGC